TAAACAGTATACACTTGTATTGGGAGTGATAAAGTGAGAGCCTGTCAAGCTTTAAGTAGATTCACTTAAAACACTCCACATAGGTCTTAGTGAAAATATACATGGTTAACAAGCGTTATTGGGACAGTCATACACTATAGCGTGCTAAGACACCAGCGGTATCGTATTGCTGCTCTCTAGTGATTCAGAGGAAAATAAATGACATGATTTATCGAAAAATGCTCAACGAGTTATTTTCCTAATGGTTTCGTTTTCACAGTGTTGGATACTGCCGATTCAACACTTTCGTTACAATTTCTATTTATGATTAATAATAATAATAATTCTTAATACATTATAGTTCTTATATACCGCTTTATCCCAACCAAGTTTGTAGGTCGTCTCAAATTGTCCGTGGTTATAGGGCCTTCGCAACCAGCCAATATCTTTCTCAGCTCCCTGGGCAGCATATACAGCCGGTGCTGCCATTTCGGCGCTCATAGCTAGCATTCAACAATTCTAGCACTGCCCAACCATATACTCATTTACAGCTGAGTAGACTAGATCAAGCGGAGTAAATTATCTTGTTCAAAGATACAACACAGTGCCGTGACGTGACTCGAACCCGCAACCCTTCTGTAACGAGCCCGGCGTCCTACCATTAGACTACCGTGCCTCCTTCATATGTATGAGAATAAGGGTTGTCAAGAAAACCGTACACTCAGTTTTATGCAATCAATTATGTTAGTACAACATATGATTGCGGACATTAATGCTTTAAATTATGTCATAGAAAACTGCCATAATGGACATATTTGATTAAGTAACGTCCTGGAACAAATAAAAGAGTATTCACGGGGTACACATATGTAAACTTCAAACCATCTCTATCGCCGATCTTATCTTTTATCACTATCGATACTGACCATTGCCTGTATCACCTTGAATGCAAGTCAAGATTAAAGAACCCAAAATAGAATGACAGAAAGCGCAAATTGTGTATTTTGCTCTGAGCGTGAATATAACAGCTCACTTATTCGGTCTTTTAGGGGCAATGTGAGAACGATCAACTGAATTGTGCTTAAGTTGATTCACGGCTTGAATTTTGCAATATTTTGTACTTCATATGAACATTTCTCTGTCAGCATTTCAACATTTTACGATGATCTTTGGAATGTTAATTGGGTCTTTTTTCTGCACAATTTACTAAAATCCTCATGAGATTACAAAATGCATTTATGACTGAAGGGGCATAACTCCGTTTAAAAAAAAAAAAAAAAAAAAAAAAACTTCGTTTTTAGTATACATGAATCATGATAAGGTAAAAATAGTTTCTTTTTCTGCTTTTCATTTTAAATTGTGTATTACAAGTAATAGTATTTCGATAGAAATAGAGGACACATTACATTTTATATGTAAAACACATAGTCAGTGTACAGTAATATTTTCTATTGAGAAACATATGTGCATATGCATAGTGGTGTATATATAACGAAGATAAGAAAATGTTTAAAAGAATAATGAGCGATGACCGTTTGGTTGCGGCCTGAGATGATTATCTTCCAACATTTTCGAAACATGAGTTATATTTTCACCATAATATACACACATATGTTGTATATATCTACTCTACGTAGTAAAGTGTAATGAAAATCTTGTTCGTGTCCACCTCAGTGCATATATGCTTTTGATCAGCGAAGTGACCTAGATAATCCAATTATTCAAATAAGGTTGTTGCACGTGCAAACATTCGTCACATAGTGCACTGATGTCTTCATTGCATAGCAAGCCATGCTTTTTTTGTGGGCAGCAGTCATATTTTGTTCATTTTACCTGGTATGATTTGGAAGGGATTTATTTTTATTTTCTGTCGCCAGTCGATAAACAATAAACAGTGACGTCCTTCTTTATACTAGATGTTTATTTCAACATCTTTCGTCAACAGTTGAAATCAACAGTTCTCAGATTTACAATACCCTGACCGTGAGCTTGACACGTTTAAGTTAGATACAGAGGTTAAAGGGATTTTGTCTTTGTTCAAGAACATATATACAATCTTAAATGCGTGTCCCCTTATTTGACAAAAGAAAGTGTCCTGCGGCTCGCTTGTTTACATATACGCGGGAGGATTTTGGAAGAGCATTTCGTGAAATACAAACGGAAAGTATGTGTCGGCCTGTGTCGATTGTGTGACCACTTCCCTGACAGCTGTACAGTACCATTGTTGATCCCTCTTGACCTCGATGGTGTATGTAATGTAGTGTTTAAGGAACTACGTCGTAATGCGACAGTCTGCACCTGCCATGCAGGGGCGTAGCTGGGGTTATACAATCCATAACCTGCAACTGCTATAGATCGGGTTATCTTAGTCGAGGGCTAAGATTCTTTAACAAAATCCAAACCGAGGCGTAAGCCATGGTTGGGATGTTACAGAATCTTAGTCCGAAACTGAAATAACCCGCTCAGGTTCAGGTACATTGTAATTTATTTTTTCTCTCTCGCAGTTTCAGTTTGAAAAAGTACATAATATAACCAACACGTATCCCATCCGGGGCCTCAAATAAATATGGCCTCTTCACTTCAAAAGCTATTGCTTGGATACATCCGTGTTAACATTGTAGTCCGTACTTACAAGGAAGAAAACATATTTTCACAGTGTAGATTATATTTTATTTACAACATTAGGTTCTTATAAAACCACATAAGGATACATATAACAACATTACAGAAGTTCTAAAATGTATCGGCTAAAACAATAAGGTTATGAAGATATATGGGTTTGTTATAAATAAATAGAAAGAGAAAATATTTTAAAAAAGAGATTCCGTTTATATGGAGTATTTCTGATGCCGTGATTTGAAGGCATTCCGAGTTGGAGACGAGACTATTGCGTTTTCCTTTACCTCTTTCCCTTGAACATTTTCATTATAAAGACATTTTTCAGTTATTAAGCTCAGATTTGATGTCAACTTCTTGAAATAACCAAAAGATCATGCGTTTTTGTAATTAACTCGTGACTTACATCTGTGATTGACGACTGAAAAAACATTTAAAAAATTATCAACAATACACATTTTCATTATGCCAGGGCTGTCCCAAATTTAGAGCGAAAGGGGCGTTGCTATGCTTAACACGGTAGTGTATCAACGTCAACTTTCACAAGAATGTGGTAACAGTGCGAGGACGATAAATATTTTATTGAATCGTCTGAAAATATCTTGGTCGACATCTGACCATCCGCGAAGTGGCAGGCCCAGTGTAACGACTACTCTAGAAAGACAGCCGGATACTGTTCCTGCGAATGAGACCGCGATCATATTTCCTGGTCGTCAGATTTCCGCCAAAACTAGCCGCAAACACTTGAAAGTAGACTGATCACAAGCAAAACGGCCTTACAAAGGACCCACAATTAACGTCACCCTAACTGCTGCTTTAATTTTGCCCCAACAAAAGTCAACCTTTTAAGGATGAATTAAGATGGTACTTGTTACAGTGTGATGCCAGGCACAAAGTCCAGAGACGTCGGACTAAACGCTTTGAGAACTGCAGCATAGTTCACGGGACGGTAGTGTGATGGTCTAGGGCGGTATTTTGTGATGGCAGCCGCACAAGACTTGTCGTAGTTCCTAGAAAAGGACTTGTGGCGTTATGAGTAAAATTTCTGGGACATTGAATAGTGTGCTTTACCGAGGCGAATTTTGAGGACGGCTCTCCAAAGTCATAGTACTGATTGTTTTAAAAGATAATGCGCCTGTGTATGCCAGTCATTGATCAGGAAATCTATGTTTGTCATCTAAATGATCCGATGTCGCCCGATCACGTGGGTTTTCTCCGGGTAACCCCGCGAGCTAACATCTGGGTCAACACGAGTTATTAAACTTGTTTCATAATTGTTGTTAAATAAATAAAGTTAATAATGTGGCTCATAGAGAATGTGGGGAAATAATTTGGGAAATGTATTAGGAAACGTCAAATTCAGCCGTCTAACTGTTAGGAGCTGGCCCTAACGATAATTATTGGATGGGACAGTATCGGCTCTCACCATATTCTTCTGAAGGTCATATGTAGTAATTAATGCGTGACTTAGGAAACTTGAGTTACCATAGCTACCACTGTCAGTGTTCAGTACAAAGTAATTTTAGGGTAGGATAACAACAAAAACTTATCCGTACATCTACAGACTTAATTCCACTTTGCATTGGAAGGGGATAGCTCTTGAAGCGTACCTGTATGGTGTGAAACGGTGAGATTCAGTAAAGCATATCAGCTTATAGTTAAATTTATCTAAATACAACTCGGTACCACTGTCATTGTTTTACAAAATAATTTTTAAAGTAGGATTACCACTATTCGTTATCAAAAACTTTTCATTGGTGGTTGTGGGGGAGGGGGAAGTTCTTGTAGCGTATGTTGTGAAATGTTTCACACCAGTAGTAGGGGTTCAGAAAAGAATATCAGCTAATAGTTGCTAGTTAAGGTTAGTGATTGAAAGAGGGGTTTAACTAATCATAAAAGACGTTAAGTAAATAACGGATATGATATTTGTATACGTGCAGAGAGGATGGTCACTTTGTCATGAACCGCAAGCCTACCTCTGACTAAAATCCTATGCATTCATGACGGACGCCTCATTTTCTGTAGCCTCGGAAGGCGAAAGTTTCACTGCGATGGGGAGCCTCTGACTTTGTCTAGGAATTATTGAAATTTCTAATTTGTCCATTGTTGTGGGGGTATTGCCATTTTTAATATACGATTGAATAATGCATTGCACTTATGTGTATTACAATTTATTATAACTAAAACGGGGCTTTCCGTATTTTTCAATAGACTTAAAAGACATTCTTGATATAGAACATTTCTGTGTACAAAAGATACTCAAGTTGTCGTTCCCTGTTTAATTTTCTTTACACTTACAAAAACAAATACCTGACAAAAGTATGTGCAAGCATGTGCTTACTTTTATCAGGGCGGCTTCAAGGCAGACGGAAAACATAGTAAGAATTATTCGGTCGAAATATAACATGGACCCTCAGGTGACGAGCAGTAAATCACTGCTAACCGAGGACCCTCAGGTGAGAAGTTCTACATTACTGTTAACAGAGGACCCTCAGTTGAGTAGTTCTACATTACTGCTAATCGTGGACCCTCAGGTGAGTAGTTCTACAACACTGCTAACCGTGGACCCCAAGTTGAGTAGTTCTGCATTACTGCTAACTGAGGACCCTCAGGTGAGAAGTTCTACATTACTGCTAACTGAGGATCCTCATGTGACTAGTAGTAAATTATTGCTAACAGAGGACCCTCATGTCAGACGTTCTACATCACTGCTAACCGTGAACCCTCATGTGAGACGTTCTACATCACTGCTAACCGAGGACCCTCAGTTAAGTAGTTATACATCCCTGCCAACAGAGCACGCTCATGTGAGACGTTCTACATCACTGCTTACCGATGACCCTCAGTTAAGTAGTTCTACATGACTGTCAACCGAGGACCCTCATGTGAGACGTTCTACATCACTGCTTACCGATGACCCTCAATTAAGTAGTTCTACATCACTGCTAACCGTTAAACACTCATGTGAGACGTTCTACATCACTGCTAATCGAGGACCCTCAGTTAAGTAGTTCTACATACTGCTAACCGAGAACCATCATGTGAGACGTTCTACATCACTGCTAACCGAGGACCCTCATGTGAGACGTTCTACATCACTGCTAACCGATGACCCTCAATTAAGTAGTTCTACATCACTGCTAACCGTTAAACACTCATGTGAGACGTTCTACATCACTGCTAACCGTGAACCCTCAGTTAAGTAGTTATACATCCCTGCCAACCGAGCACGCTCATGTGAGACGTTCTACATCACTGCTAACCGAGGACCCTCATGTGAGACATTCTACATCACTGCTAACCGAGGACCATCAGTTAAGTGGTTTTACATTACTGCCAACCGTAGACCCCCAGGTGACTAGTAGGTAATTACTGCTAACCGTGGACCCTCATTTGACGACTAGTAAATTACTGATAACCGTGAACCCTCATGTGAGACGTTCTTCATCACTGCTAACCGTGAACCCCCAGTTAAGTAGTTCTCATTACTGCCAACCGTGGACCCCCAGGTTACTAGTAGTACATTACTGCTAACCGTGGACCCTCATGTGACGAGTAGTACATTACTGCTAACCGTGAACCCTCATGTGAGACGTTCTACTTCACTGCTAGCCGTGGACCCTCAGTTAAGTAGTTCTACATTACTGCCAACCGTGAACCGTCATGTGACGAGTTGTACATTACTGCTAACCGTGGACCCTCAGGTGACGGGCAGTACATTACTGCCAACCGTGAACCCTCATGTGACGAGTAGTACATTACTGCTAACCGTGGACCCTCAGGTGAGTAGTTCTACATCACTGCTTATCGAGGACCGTCAGTTAAGTAGTTCTACATTACTGCTTACCGTGGTCCCCCAGGTGAGACGTTTTACATCACTGCCAACCGTGGACCCTCAGGTGAGACGTTTTACATCACTGCTAACCGTGGACCCTCATGTGACGAGTAGTACATTACTGCCAAGCCTGAACCCTCATGTGAGACGTTCTACATCACTGCTAATCGAGGACCCTCAGGTGAGACGTTCTACATCACTGCTAACCGAGGACCCTCAGTTGACGAGCAGTATATTACTGCCAACCGTGGATCCTCAGGTGACGGGCACTACATTACTGCTAACCGTGAACCCTCAGGTGAGACGTTCTACATCACTGCTAACCGAGGACCCTCAGGTGAGACGTTCTACATCACTGCTAACCGAGGACCCTCAGGTGACGGGCAGTACATTACTGATAACCGTGGACCCTCATGTGACGAGTAGTACATTACTGCCAACCGTGAACCCTCAGGTGAGGCGTTCTACATCACTGCTAACCGAGGACCCTCAGGTGACGAGCATTACATTACTGCCAACCGTGAACCCTCAGGTGACGAGTTCTACTTCACTGTTCACTGACTATCTTTCAGATCTTAGAGAGTCCAACAGCTACAGTGATGCGCCGGTTTGATAAATACAAAAGAAAAAGTATTTTCGTTTACAAACATAAAATTTATTTCAACTATGGATTTCCAATGACTGTCATGCTAATAACCCCTTTACAGCGTCCTAGAGTGTTTGCAAAATATTTCCATATCTGGTTTGAACATGAAGCACCATGATGGTGCTTAGACTCTTTCATTTTTCAAACCTCATCTTTCCTTTTTCGTTTTCTCAACGGTCGTAAATGAATGAGAGGAAATTGAGGGACTAGCTTCAATTATGATCTAGAACAGCCCACAAGGAACACTAGTTATGTCGCTTGCAGTGCTCAGTCGAAGACGAACAAATGTTTTTGTCGCTTGATAAACGCCGAATACGGGCCACAGTTCCCGAGACTCGTCCACGTTAGTAAAGGTATATATCTTTCTGTTCATGTTTATGTCAAACACAGTGATAATTCTGTCCACTCTGTTAATGAAGAATCCAAGTTTCAGGTACTTTTCTGTACCGGAAGTGGCGTCACTTAGACTTTCATTATGCATTATATTGCCTCCATTACTTTTGAAGAAGAGAGTGACTCCCTGTGTAACAGAACTGTGCGCATTGATAGACCACGCCTCCTTTTGTCGACCGACATAGTGACTTTGAGCAATCGCTTTTTCTGTTGCAAACGCAACCTCGAAAACAAGATTTGTTGCACTTAAGTTTTTTTCTATTTGGTAATAGATGTCAGTTTCAAAGTACAATTTTTGTCGGTTTGTAATTGCAGTTGACCCTTGTACCCCTTTGTACACCCGGTTTAGGTCAGCTCTTGTTTGTCCTTCATATGTGTTATCCACTTGTCTGTTTGAAATTGTTAGTTTATCCCTTGACAGGAAACGTGTATGCAGGGTCGCTGGATCCATAAAAATTCTGGGACCTGACGACAAAAAATGTTATTTATTTTTTAAAAAGGTAAACATAATTTCATACCTTGGCACTGAATTGTCATCATACAACAAATAATGACGTTTTATAAACCTTATTTTTTACTTTTAAATCTGAGTTTTATAACGATATGAATTTTGTATATGGTCATAGAGCGTTCTATTAGTAGAGTATTGTGCGTTCAGCGCTGCATTAGTCTATACTCCGCATGGGCAATAAAACATGTCATCTGCTTTCAAAAAAATAAAATGGAAATATAAAATAAATACAGCTTATGCTTCAAAATCGATTTGAAATTTGTTATCCCATGTCTATTTTGTGCAATGATAAAGTGCACATGGTACTTTATTAAATAGAAAATGATCCCTGCACACAACTTCCCCGATTTTAGTTGTGTGTCACGTTTTCCACGTACTCCGCTATAATCATCTGACAAAGTTCTAAGTAGCCACATCCTTACAGCGAATGACAGTCATCCTGACTATAAAAAATAGGTTTATAAACGAAAGGACAACACTTTCTGTACCCATACACATATTTACCAACAAATTAATTAATACAGTAATTGTGTCTGAACTGAATAAACATTTTGATAACTTTAAACTTACACTCAAGACCAAAGACAGCACAGTTGTCTGATAAAGGGCAGCCATTCACTGCTTCTGTACAAAAACAAAAGAAGAACATTTAGTTTCTAGGTGTCTGTTCAAATAATTGCTTCTTCATTTTTGTAGGTAACACCATTCTGTGAATTTGGCTATATGCACTTGTTAAAATGCAATGCTATTGTAACGTCATGTTTCTATTGTAGTGTGATGATAGGTAATTGTGACGTCATGGCGTTGTCCTTTTGAAATAACCTTGAGAGCCATGTGATGGTTGAAAGCTGCTACTTTTGAAGGTCATTATATCTTATTTTTTCTATATTTACCACTTTACATGGACATTTAACATGTATATAAAGAAGTGACAACATCGTTCATTGCTACTGCCCTAGTATTTTCACCTCTTTAGAGGCTCACCGGGGGAACTCTTTTGTCATTTCTTTTATATTTAACCATCACAAGGACTTGAGTTTTTTGTTGTATACATGTATGTATAATTATTACTTAATGTTGAAACTTTATTCACAAGTGCCTTTCATCTGCTTTCAAGAGCTCTTCATCCGACGTAGAAGTACGTATGATTCTTGTTTTATGTATATTTTATAACTATATAAGTTTTTATAATGTATTTTTATAATTTGTTTTTATTACTCATAAATTGTGGAAAAAATACAGATTTATTACTGGCGGAATTTCTTTGTCAGACATTCAAAGAGGAAAATCTGTAGTTTTTCCGTGATAAGCACCCTTGCGCGACAGTGGGCGAACACAGGCGAATTTTAATGTGTGTATCAATAGGAAAACTGTAAATCACGATCCTATTATATAATTATTTTCTACACCATTTAAAATAATATTCGTGTAAATCATTTCATCTGAAACATAATTGAATAAATTAAAATGTTAAGAAATGTGTATCATGATTATAATAAACCACACTCGACTTAAACTGTAGCCAACTTATTAGGGACAGGAAGGGAATATAATTAACCAGCAAGTTATGTTTGTCTCTCTATATGCTAGTGGAGGACGCAGTCTTTGCATTGTTCTTTGCATTTAACTTGTCACCAGTCATAATCAGGAACCGTCTTAAATCATTTAAGGAAATTTGAAAAGCTGAATAACTGTACATATTATATTCAAACATTCTCTCACTAAATCACTTTATTTGTAAAGGATCAGTTTCAAATAACAATTCCAGTTTTCTTATATTTATTCAGGAAACACTACAGTACAAAATCGTCATCCGATCTCCCAGTCAACAGATATGCTCGTCTTACCTCCGAGTGGAACTCTTCTTTTCGATTAAAGCTGATGCAGTGGTACCTTTTACCATAAACTAAACTCTCCAATCTCCACAGATTTGTCTTACCTGGTGCAGGCTCTATAGGATCCACATTCTTCAAGGAGTTCAGTTCCGATACAATTCGCTTGTTGTCCTCTTCCAGACGTCCTACTCTTGCTTCGAGACCATTTGTCATTTCTAGCAATGTCGACCTCACTCGCTCCAACACAGCTTGTTCAAGAAAAACATATTTCTTTTCTTCTCCAATGAGCTGCGCATCTCCATAATGTTTCATATGAAATAAAACCAAAATTAACAGAGTCGATGAATTCCTTCGGCCACACATTTTAACATTATAGTGATGTGAACGTTGAGCACCAACTGAAGTCCCTAACACGAATAACACGATTAGCATGTACCTTGCTATTGTCATCTGACCCCGTATTAAGTAGGTGTATCCTAACAGGCCGATTTATGCGATAAATGACAGTCTTCCAGATTCTAATTAAAAAGGATCTAGTTATTCGAAAGATAATTAGCCCAGTCACTGTTGAATGACATTTTCAACCTCAAATAATTTGATCAACCTACAAGGCAAAATCTTGTGGTTTTGTATGTAAATTTACTGTACTAAAACATTTGTTATCTGTTAGTTTTAATTCTGTTAATGGCTGTGTTTTAGAGATAAACAAAAAAGTAAAATTTTCGCTTAACACTGATTTAGCTTATCACCATTATAAACGGAAGGACAATAGTTACTCAATTTTATAAGCTATTTTTTCAGGCTCATTTGCATAATCTTATGTTTGAGCTTATCTATATTTCAATTTTTATTTTAAAACATATGTATTTATTTTTTAATAAATAATTAAAAAAAAATTTTTTTTTAAATATATATATATATAAAGTGCTATTTATATTATTAGGTTAGAGGCACTTGATTTGTAGCAGATTTGTCTACATAAACAAATGTTGGAGTTCAAAATGAACCCTGTCTGTTGATGTTCTGTGATATGACGTCATTTAATTGACACATTGGTCAGCGGTGGAATATCTACTGGAAAAAAAAGTTGACATTAGAGAAATCGACTCACAAAAACAAATATTCCTAAACCAAACATGCTGTGAAAATGTTCTAAATCCCTTAAATCTGTACCTCCGAATTAACACGTTTTCTTTCTAAATAGGCTCTTGATTAACTTGAAATAGAACCGGTATCTAGAAAATCTACTATATGTATTGTTGCGTTCACAATGTCTTTGTAAAAGGTGGGAAAAATGGGTAAATTTTATATCCTCAGGTAGCATTTCTCTATCCTTCAAACCCTCATACGATAGACTCTAGTAACTGTCAGCTATACCAGGATCATGCGATTTTTATGAGGGGATACAGAAGAACTCTATTATAAAAAGATAGTATATGATATTTATGTAAACACACTGTTTGATATATAGACGTTGTTTAGTTTATCAATTTGCTATTATATGTCAAAAAATTTACTACGGGCTCAACCTTAATGCACTCATCGTTTTATCTTGTTCCTTTATATGTGTTAACACAAAACTCGTAAGTTCTTTGGTACGAAAAAAATAAATTATGATACTTCCGATCTTTCCAGTAGAAATGATGTCAAAAACCAGTGAATGCCTGTCTAAAGGTTCCTTGTCTCACCGCAGACAAAACACTCGAGAATTTCTATGTGTTTTCGTAGACTTTACACTGAAAACATTTCACTGCAGCATCATTTTCGCCTTTTTCGCTATCGGTGATGCGGGCGAATTAATCATGACAGAAAATTTAAATGAACAGAATAAAATATACTAAGTAACTGTTGTTTGAATATATTTTTTTACGTCACCATTATTATTATTTATGAAAGTTTTCTTGAGTATGTTTTCCTTTCCAGAAATGATTTAGTAATGCTATACTCATGCCGGAAAACGATTTCCAATACTGAGCTCACATTTTTCAAAGTGTTACATGGATCTTTACAGGTTGAAACACTGATAATAAAGGCTTTCTGTTGCCCCTTAACGTTTTGCAATATCAAATAGAGTTTTCCTTGAACTTTGGCGAGTTAAGCATTTGTCAAATAGAACTGTCATATTAAACCCATGAGTCAAATACCATATTGGAGAGTCAAAAAATATGTTAACTAGAACTTTCCTTTAAAATCCAAGAGCCAAATATCACTTTTAAACCATACTCATAAACCATACTCAAAATGGTCTACTAAAGGCCCTGCTGATAATAATTCTATTTACAACTATTAAACAATCCAGAATATGTTTAATTGATTTTATTGTATTAGCAAACATATGCATTAATCAATATACAATATTGTAAAATGTACACAGCGTATGGCCAATTCATCATTTTTCTACATATAAAATCTATAGACAACATTAATATATTTCTTCTTTTGAAAAGGGATCAGTGCAACCAGTCTCTTCTATTCTGTTAGTGGAAGTGCGCCTCTTGTTTAACTAAGTCAGTCAAGATATACTAATCGAGCAATCACTGGGTTGGTTTTTCGGGCTACTCTCAAGTGATTTTGCAATAACATATCCTAGTCAAATCCGGAGGGAAAGTTCCCAAATATTGCAGTTAGCTCAACAAATAGGCATATCTAACAGATAAATGGCCAAGTGCCAAAAAAACCAATCGACTCACTTCTTAGTCTTGTCTAAAGGAAAAGTGTCCCTGTGATAAAGTCGACTTACTACTAAGTCTAATTTAAAGGGAAAATACTCAAAAATCAATTCGACTCATTTCTTAGTCATATCTAGAGCGATAGTGCTACAATGATAAAGACAGTTCATATCAAATGTCTTTTTTTAAAAGGGAAGGATCCATAAAAAATCGGGGACCTGGCGACAAAACAACAAAAGTTTCTTTTAAATAAGTTAAAGATATGTAACTTTCACCTTTGCGCTGTATACACTGTAAATACACAACAATAACTTACATTTTAAATACGTGAAATTTGAACTTGCATTCGGAAATAATTTGAATAGACTGTAGTTTTCCTATTACTTAGCAATGGTGTGTTGCAATAATCAATAGTGTGCACGTACATGCAAAAAATGTTATTTGTATTCAAAATCGATGCTTAAAAACTATTTTAAATTATTTTTCTCCTGTAAATTTTATACTCATTATTCATTCATAATTTGCACATTACAATATTTAATTGATATCCCTGTATACAAATTGCACGGTTTGATATATGTGTCACGTTGTAGAAGTACTCCTACCATCTAATTAGGTTCATCCTGACATGCATCACGATGCAATAAATGACAGCCTTCCTGATTCTAACCATGCTTCCCCAATTTTGCTAATTTAAGCTCATTTGCACATTCTGTCCTGAGCGACATGGAAACAATACAATATTGACACCAAAATATATCTGTACCTGTTATATACCACTGTGTTTGTATTGAAGTGTACTTAAGGCCATGGTTACGTCTAAGCAATAAAAGATTCAATCAAAGAAGGCTCAATTGGTCTGCATCGCCAGGTTTTAATCTCACACTTGTAACTATAAAAGTGGACCACGGTCAAANTTACAGGGCCATATTGTAAAGTAGACAAATATCTAAACATATTGCCTTGTCTAAAAAAAAAAAGGAATTTATTATTCATTATTGTACCATGTTAACCAAATATCTGACTGTTCCCGGATTCACAATAACTGTCAATTATACTACGAAATATCCATCAGTGTCCTATTTCTGCCACTGTTCTACACTGTTTATATTATTAAACATGTGTAACTTTTACAACTTTGTCTCTGTTTCGTCGTATTCATAGCAATCATTGCTGAATATGAGAGTATAAGCTAAAACAGACCACAAGGTACATTGTTTATGTCTCTTTCAGAGTTCAGTCGAAGGCGAACAAGTTGTCTCTCCGTGTTAAAAACTCCGAATACGGGCCACAGTTCCTGAGATCCGTTCACGTTAGTAAAGGTGTATATCTTCCTGTTCATGTAAATGTCAAACACAGCGATAAATCTGTCTACTCTGTTAATGAGGAATCCCAAATTCAAGTACTTTTCTGTTCCGGAAGTCGCGTCACTGAGAATTTCACTATGCATTAGATTGCCTCCATGACTTTTGAAGAAGAGAGTGACTCCATGTGTATCAGAATTGTACGCATAAATGGACCACGCCCCTTTTTGGTTACCGACATAGAAAATTTCACCAATTGCCTTTTCAGTTGCGAAAGCAACCTCGAAAACCAGATTATTTTTATCTAGGTCCTGAACTATTCGATAATAAATGACAGTTTCAAAGTACATTGTTTGTCGGTTGGTAATCACAGATGATCCCTGTGCCCCGCTGTACGTCCGGTCCTTTACTGTTGGCCAGTCATAGCTGCTGTCCAGTCGTTTATTTGACAATGTTAGTTTATCGCTTGAGAGGAACCCTAAATATAAGGTCGCTGGATCCATCACAAATCGGGGACCTGACAACAAAACAACAAAAGTTTCTTTTAAAAAAGTTAAATATATTTCACTGTCACCTTTGCGCTGTATATACTGTAAATACACAACAATTACTTACATTTGAAATACATGAAATTTAAACTTGCATTCGGAAATATTTTGAATAGACTGTAGTTTTCCTATTACTAAGCAATGGTGTGTTGCAAGAACCAATAGTGTGCACGTACATGCAAACAATGTTATTTGTATTCAAAATCGATGCTTAAAAATTATTTTAAATTATTTTTCTCCTGTAAATTTTTTACCCATTATTCATTCATAATTTGCACATTACACTATTTGATATACCTGTATACAAATTCCACGTTTTAGAAAGTACTAATACCATCCGACCCTGTATTAATTAGGTTCATCCTGACATGCATGATGATGCAATAAATGACAGCCTTCCTGATTCTAACCATGCTTCCTCAATTTTGCTAATTTAAGCTCATTTGCAAATTCTGTCCTGAGCGACATGGAAACAATACAATGTTGACACTAAAATATATCTGTACCTGTTATATACCACTGTGTTTGTATTGAAATGTACTTAACCCGTTCCCCCTAGGTAACTTCAGTAGAATCTACCAAACATTGATCTGGACGAGTCCATTATGGTCTACAGTGGTGAAATGGTTAAGGCCGTGGTTACGTCTTAGCAATAATAGATTCAATCAAAGAAGGCTCAATTGGTCTGCATCGTCTGGTTTTAATCTCACACTTGTAACTATAAAAGTGGACCACGGTCAAATCGATATTGACATGGACTAAATAAAGCTACAGACTAGATATTATTACCTACGGCTCCTACAGGGTGCCGTGTCATGACGCGTACGTTAATGTACGGGTACCCGTAAACCGTACGTAATTGTTTTAGTCCGTTTCACGAGGCACACGTAAGTTACGAGTACACGTAAATAAGTTACGGGTACACGTAAATAAGTTACGATTACACGTTAATAAGTTACGAGTACACGTAAATAAGTTACGGGTACACGTAAATAAGTTACGAGTACACGTAAATAAGTTACGGGTACACGTAAATTAGTTACGGGTGCACGTAAATAAGTTACGGGTACACGTAATTAAGTTACGGGTACTGGTTAATTACGCCATAAACCACACGTAACTTACGCCAACATATACCTGCCGTAAACCACACGTTAGTTTTCGTTCAGACATCATAAAAGTAGACAAATGGCTGTCGCTTTGTGTCGTGTTAACCAAATAAGTCCAGAGTGCATTACGTAGGGGACGAGTGTGCCTAACCAACAAAACAGTAGGGGCCAAAAGTACAGTATTTTCCCAATATTTTACTTGGATGGTAATAGCGACGGCCTTTTTATTGCTATTTCTACATCTATTTCATGAATTTTAATGAAGCTTTTTGTGATGAAATTCAACGAACTTTTAATTTCATAAACGATAAATTTTATTTCATAAACGATAATTTTTATTTCAAATACTGTAATACTGTAAAATCATAAATTTTCGTGGGATATTAAATTTCGTTTATTTCGTGGATACAAAAATCCACGAAATGAAATCCCCACGAAAACATAAATTTGGAATGATATAGATAGGGGGAAATCAGAAATCAGCAAAACATATGTCCTTGAAACAGGCTAATATATGAAAATCACGAAATTTTAACCCCACGAAAATAAATGATTCTATAGCAGTATTTCATTAGCTGATTTTGAAGATATGATAAAATATTCCGCTTAATATCTATGCGGGTCGTTTTTCATGTTTAATTTTATCCTGATTATATAAAAAAAAAAATGAATTTCTGCGAATTTGCTATTCATTTTAAGAAAAAGTATCAATGTAATACGAAATAAAAATGTGGGAAATTCTATTTCACGGTATATCAAAGTTTGTTTATATAAATTAAATAATAATAGATGCAATGGAGAAATGACGTAAGAAAGGCTTATGACGTGTCACTATCGTATATCAATCAAGAGTAAGAAAATTGATTATAATCTGCCAAAAAAAAATCACGAACTGCAATTTCGTCCGTTCTGTCTTTGGATTCCCAGAGTTAAATTACCAAACCTCGCCGCACCTGTTGCAAATATTTTTGAACTTGTGAAAGAATGTTAGAAAAGGGTTGTTTTACAACGATTTCATACCCATATAATTGTCATTCGACGAGAACCCGGTACGGTAGCTACCGCTTTGTAAAACTGTTCCCCGACCGACCCGATCCCTACCACTTAAATCTAGACAATTCCTCATCCCTGAGTAACACATTGTACATGTAGATTATGCAATGATTCCATAGTTGAGAAGGAAAGCAACGACAAGAAATTAAAAGCCGACGGAAGTTATGTTTGAAGTTAATTAAACTTTTAACTATCCGCGATATTAACGCTTTGATATTTTTGTGGTGCTTCTACATATATTTCACGTCGTAAGTCTGTCAGTCTTTGTTTTTCATTAAAGAGGATACACTTTTACTGTGTTGAATCGGTTTAATAACAATACCTACACAATTAATTGGCTTACGTTTGACTACTGATTCCGGTTAACCCCAAGATGTCCGCGGCATCTCCAAATCCAAAAGCTTATTCATGTTTGAAAATCTTACTAATATTTGCTCAGTGTTTTACTGTGCCCGCTGTAATTATACGAATTTGAAAGCATCATATTTGTGAAATGATAAAAATCCTCACAATTAAAATTTCCATGCCTAAAATTTCAACAATATTTAGTTGTAGCGTTTACAAAACAATGAACTTATTAATATTTGATTAAACTTGCGATAAGAGAAAAACGCAAAAATTCCGTGGTACTGTCATTGTGCGATATTAGCTGTATATGTACTTTTTTTTATTATTTTATTTTTTGAAACATTTTCAGCATTACAGAATAATTACAGTATTAATTTTCACACTCATTTTCATTCTTCAACCAAAATTTAATACAAATTTTGTAATGTTTTTTTAGAGAGAGAGAGAGAGAGAGAAAGAGAGAGAGAGAGAGAGAGAGAGAGAGAGAGAGAGAGAGAGAGAGAGAGAGAGAGAGAGAGAGAGA